TGAAAGATCACCACCACATTTTCCGAATGTTTCGGTGACGGCGGCGGGGCGCGGAAAAATAAGAAGCGAAAGAAAATACATGTTTAAATGTGTATTATATATCATATAATTTTTTTCCCGCGTGCCTCTAAAAAAATTAATTGGACTGACAACCACCGACCGGGTGGGTTATATACATTTCGAAAAAATATTACACATGAATAATATTATACAGGTATACTTACAATTCTACTGTCCTACTGTTTTGGTTTTTTTTTTTCATTCTTTTTAATTTTATTTATCCCGAGCAATTATCTCATAATCCATCATTACGCGGCTCAGTTATTCATATACACGCAACGTGAAATGCTGGCAATGCGATGTGCGGTATTGTGTGTGTGCGTGTGTGTTTGTGCAGGATAAAAAACACGATCCATCTTTTTTGCAACTGACAAATTCATTTACAACATTCTACATAAATTATACTTGTTTCGTTTCAAAAAGGGTAGCGAGAAGTTTTATTTGTACAAACGACGTGAGCGATACTCAATATTGTACTTCCTTTCGATACAACTTTATGCACATCATAAAATTGAAAATGTTTTTAATTTTAAAACAATATTTTGAAAAATGTAATTGTTCGTCATTCGAGTGTATTTATATTATTGATATATTATGTCCAAGTAAACTATTGGTACCGCGAAAACATAATTTTCTATTGCGTAAATGTCCATAATTTTATCAACAATAAGCCAATATATTAATAATTATAGTTTTATTGTGTTCAAATATCTATTTAATGATTGTATTCATACGTAATACATGATAATTATGTTTTGATAATTCAAAGAATATTTTCGTAAATTTGTTATTAAGGACTTTGTATTTTGTAAACATCAACAGTTACTACGAATAACGACCGTCAATTGTTTAAAATATATACTATTAAGTTAAACCTTGTTGAAATATACCACAAAAGCCAAACAGAACAACATTTCTAAACATTTACTAATTTATACTACATTTCGGTTTCAGTAGTAGGTAAATGCTTTTGCCGTGTTTAATACAAATACTAAAATACAATAAAATGTAATATTCTTAAGCAGTTATATTTATTTATATAGTAATAAATGGTTAAAATAGTGCCAAGATTGTATAATAAATAAATAAATATTGAAATCATTTATCTCTGAGAGAGTATTTTGAGTTTCAATCCGAATAACACACGCAACTGAGTGCGTACTCCATATAGAATAAAAATATTTTTGGACGATTTCAAAAAGGATTAGGATTTTTCGAATTTCTAGCGGGGACGAGTCGTGGAAAACTGTAAGTCGCAAATACCATTTAATTACGAATGATTTATTACACTCCGCTAGAGTACATACTAAAACGTAAGAATCCTTTTATTTTTAAACGAAAACGAATTCCGGTATGTTAATCATTACACAATAGAGCTCTTTATCGCGTCGACAAAAGGGAGTGGAAAGACGCCGCCGAATAAAAATAATATATTATACGCTTGTAGTATATGGACGATATCAGACATTTATTATTTTATAATATTATATAAATATATAAACAAGTATACGCATATATAGTACGGCCGTAATCACCACCACCATCACAATATTATGATTGTTCGGCTGTATGCGGTGCTGCAATAACGGACACGACTCGGAGTCGTCTAATTTCGATAGCGTCGAGTGGGTGTAATTTACTTTGCAGTTTATTTTTCTTTTCATTTTTATAATCGGTGAAAATGTCAACCGTGACATCTGCAGCTGCAGCTACCGTACGTTATGGGCACACCGAAAGTATCGTGTAAATAAAATGTACAAAAACTACTACACCATACCATTACTAGCTGGTTATAGTACTCATAGATAGTATACAGTTACATGCGCTGTCTACAGATGACATTTGAAGAGTCGCAAAAAAAATATATTATACACGCGCGAATGATGCATATACCCAGCTCGTAGGTATGTATGTACATGAACCGCCGTTGTTAAACAACAATTTCTCGCGAGGACATATTATATACAACGAAATAATAATATCAACACAACACACACGCATTTGTGTGTAGTAGATACGTTTTCTAAACGCGGTTATTATAACGTGAAAAAAAAAAAAAAAACAAAAAAAAATGTTTATGTAAAATGAATGTAAATTTTATTAGGACAGGTGTCCTCATTAGCATGAACCTAGACCCGGAGGGAGTTATTGCAGCGGCGGGTAGTATACTTACGACGGCGCGCACACATGCACACACATTCACATAATATACGTACAAACATAATATTACATACATATAAATATTACACGTATACCATACATTATATGAGTAATTTTTTTTCCTCATCCGACCCGAAACGGCTTCCGTGGCTTCGTGTATATTATAATATGCGTACATCACCTCTTATCGGCGCGGCGGATCTGACCGAATACCATCCCTGGCCGACCGGCAGCCCTTGGGCAATCTCGGCCGTCCGTCGTATTAACGCTCTAATTGTCGGTTATATTGTATATAGACGCGCACCCGACGCCGCAGCCCCCCCCCACGCCACCTCCTCCCCCGAGGCCCCCGGCCGGACGCCTTCTCACGCGCGAGCTCGCGGAACAAATTTCAAGGGGGAAAATGAAAAAAAAAATATATATATTAAAAATATAATACGTATGTATAGGTATACGCAGGATATTATATTATGTTATTTCTTAATAGTCATCCCGCGGACACTATCGTGCGGTTCGATCGCGGAGAACATTTTATAATTTTTTTTTATATATAATATATAATGATACGTACAAAAAAAAAAGCACGCTACAATGGTTCATTCTTTGGCGTTTATTCCGTATAATATAATAAAATATAATATCGGTGCAGTGTATATATAAGTACATTACTGCGGGTATATAGGGTATTATCCGTTCGTATATATATATACATTATATTATATTATATTATATTATATGGGTACAGCAGATACAGATACGCCGGTCATCGCGCGTATATATTATATTATGTGCTCCGAATTAATGGCCACCCGGGGCCGGATAACGTTCTAAATATACACATGCATATGAATAAATATTTTTTAAATATCAAAAACGATAGAGATTCCGAAAGATTAGAAAACCCACCTGAAATCATATCTACACGATCGACAACCGGCCGATGATCGGCGGACACGTTATAATAATACGCGGGTGTAGTATTATATTATAATACGCGCGTATAATATGCATTATTATACATTATAATATCGTTTTTACTACTACATAATAACAATATTACAATATAATATTATGTCCCTACTACTGGTTATAAACTGGAGTTAAAAATCTGGACGTCAGCGATATTGTCGACACGGACAGGATTTAGTTTACTCTTTACCATGCCTACCGAACTGCCTACTGTAATGTGTACAAACAAAATATCACACAATAGAATAGACAATGCGTGAACAGTTGCAGAAGTAATCTTTATAATTTACAGAAGTATCAATACATAGTATATTATATAAATAATGTATGGTGTCCTATTATTGAGTTTGTCATGGTGAATACCCATCCTTATATTTACTAGTTACTACTGCACAATCAGCTCGAATATTATATATACCTATAATCTGTATAATATGTTCGCTTTGGGTACTCCATTTCCGCATACAATTTAAATTTTAAAAAATGGTATATTTAATTATTTAGAGATTAGGTAAACTGTATAAGCACTAATTGTGACTTTCATATTATATTTTACAGTACCTAATCATTTTCTAAAATCATATTTTAAAAAAATTATACAATAAAAAGTTGTCAGCGGGTGAGACAAACTATAATAAAATATATTATAAGTTTAATCTGCTCCTCAAGTTGATGCGCTTTAACCAAAACTCCTACAAACAGCAAAATATATTTGTCGGATTCACGTAGGAAATGGAAACCGCTCAACGGCTCAAGTACGGTTTGTATTTTAAAGGATTATGATCAAACAGCCATATAATCACAAACAAATCAAGGGAGTCGTATTTACATACACGATATACAAACAGTTTTTGGATTTTTTATTGAATTATTATAATTTATAATATAAACACGCGCAAACGTACATTTGCAGTTCGTTAATATTTCATTTGGCATAATAATATATAATGTGTGTACCTATATTAATTTTATCATCTCTTTACAGCGAATATGTTTACAAGTATACTTTTAATCAACAGTTAAACCTACTAAACCGGAACGTTGTTCAGTTCATGTTTCCACTCCGATCGTTTTGTTTTATTATTTATGAAATTGATCAGTTTTTTCCCACTGCATTACCTACATAATATAGTGGACGACGATGGAGAAAAAAAATTGATGAAAACGATATTTTAACACGTCAACAAATATGTCTGAAGAAAAAAAATCTAACCGTATATAGGTACGTATACCGTCATTTAGATATGCATATAATTCTGTACATTATGTAAATGCAGCCAAGGAAAAAAATGCGTTCTCGTTAATGTTGTATAATTATAGAAAAACTGTTGAGAATATCAATCATTAGATAGGTAGATAATCGTACATTAAAAATTGTCAAAAAATAAATAAAAAAATACTGTCTCTGCATTAATACCATACAATTATCAATTCCAGACTTTAAAACGTATTTACACAATACACAAAGGCACATTATTGCTGCGGAATAATGTAGTGAAGTTGTGAAGTCCGAACGTGATTTCTAAGTAGCACATTGATTAAAAATTTCCAATGTACTGATAAAAATTAATTATATTCCTGATTTGCATAATAGATACATAAGTTTAGTAAATAGTTTGGTCATTCACCACGTTATAATTCTATTATTAATTATTATAATAGATACTAAATATAACCAATACTCACGCTCTGTTGTAGTATCCGGAAAAGGCCAAGTCAAACAACAGGTGATGAAAAATGCGAAAACAACAATAATATTAATATATACGGTTTCAAATAAGAAATAGGTCGTATAAAAAGTGTTTACTTACAGTGATAGGGTCCTGAGTTTGAGAATAACAAATTTCGACCGGAAACAAAATAAAAACATTTTGAATTAGCACACAATTTAATTAATAACTAACACTATTATGTAATATGTATACGTATAGTATATGGGCAATGGGCATATAGGTTATAATATTATGTATTATGTTTATAAATATGATAACGTAACAAAAACATATTATTATAAACAATATAAACCAACAAATTTCCATTTGATTAAAGTACCTACATATTCTTACACATTTAAGCATATATTTTGATAAACTTCACAATATGTGCAAATGATAATTTGCCACCTAAGAAAAAACATTTAAGAAATAAAAAAACAAAAAGTTATAATTTTTCCAACTGTTTGATGACAATTTATTAGCCTTCAAGAGGAACAGCTTTTTAATATAAAAAAAAGTTCTAAGATTAAATTGAATGCATCAATATTCGCCCACACTTAACAGTTACCATATAATATATATGCATATTCTATATATTCACTAAGTTACAAATAGAAGACATAAATAATAATTAGAGGTCCGAAACACATGACTTGAAATGTTTAAATATCGCTAAATAAATTTAAATACCAATATGTACGACATATTATAAGTACTGTAAATAATGTTCGTCATTTATCTTATTAACATGATCTTTATTTTACGCAATAAAAACGTAACTGTTAATTACAGAGTTATTAATAACATAACACCTTATACAAACATAAATTTTGAAATTTAATGTTCGTTTTAATTTATTTAATACGAATTGCGTATAAAAAACTTGCTTATAATAATAAATAAGTTTTTTTTGAAAACAATGTTCTTACACTTAAAATAACTTGAGGCAAAAATAAAAACGTTTTTGGTGTAAAGTTTTCAAAAAACCTTTGAGATGAAATGCAAACCATAGAGAGAACACATCATACGTATTGATATAATGTATAATATTTATATTATATACTTTTAACTTATTTAATTATAATAATAATATGTATTATACACCTTTACATTTGTTGATTATAATTACACTTAATAAGTGATTGTTCTTTGCCAATTATATAGCTAGATGTTAATAAAACGAATGATTAACATCATTATGAACGTAATTAAATTAATGAAACAATGTATACCTATATAGTATCAAATGTTTGAAAAGAATAATAATAAGAATAATAATAAAAAAATTAATTAGTTTTTATAAATTTATTTTTTAGTTTAACTGCAATCAATTTGTATTATATGTAGTACCTTTATAATATTTATACGAATATCAAATGTATATAAAACAATTCATTATTATATTATTAATCAAACGGTTTCATCAGTTGGAATTACTATAATTAGTAATAATTACTAAAGAATTTTCTTCAAATGATCGGAAATAACTACAAATTATACAAGTCAAACAAGTTTGGATGTACACTAAGATAAAGTGGTTGTTTACGTAATATGTTACTAATGTTCCGGCGTCTATTAATGTTGAAACCAATAGTCGGATTAATTTTTTTGTGCACTATTTTGATTAGTATAATTTTAATCATAAATGCGACTAATATACACTCTATATTAAACAAACTTATACTAACTATATAACGTTTAAATTTATAATTAAATTTAAAATAATCCGTTTTAGTAAAAACTTTTTGTCAGTTCAATCGTTGATTCTGAGTTAAGCTAAGAATATATTAGTTAGAAAAAAAAATATTAAGTAGGTATTTTGGAAATATTATTTTTTTAATTTTATCATTTGTTTCTCATTTTTTCCTAAGAAAATCTACCAACAATTTGAGGGAAAATGACTAAATTTACTGTATGAAATCAATTTTAATGCGAATGCAAACGGTGTAGTCTCAATATCCCATCTCGTACTTTTATTTTTTATTCAACGTTTAATCGTTTTAGTCGTTTTAATATTTATGTACTAATTGTAAACTATTTTAGTTTTTGTAAATGTGAAAATTTTAACAGCAGATTTTGGTAATTTGGATTTTACGGTCTACTTCATAAATGTAAAATCATATATACACATTATACACAGTACACAAATAACATTTTTATAGCATTATCCTAATCCATATCACCTAAAGTATTTACTTACAGTGCTTAGTGATTAAAATCGTTAAAATTATCATGTATTATATTGCTATTTGTTTGGTTTTATTCTTGTTTAATCAATCTTACGTGAAATTGAATTCCTGCTATATTTCAAACGATAATATTCAATAATTTGCATTAAAAATAAAATTGCATTATTTCTACAATATTTTCATTTACTAATTAAAAATAAACAACACGTGCACATTAGGTTCTTGGTAAATTATTTACCTGGAGTATAATTATGTTTTCTCACTATAACCATTAACTATTATAAGTACTAATCTGCAGTTCACCCGAAAACATTTAAAAATACAAATAGGAGTAAATAACATTATAATTACTACGTTGAATAAAAATATATCTACAATATGATATACATTGTACCGGCAACCATCGGAAAGTAAACAAAATAATATTATAAAAGGTACAATGGGTACCTATGTATATTTTTCAGATATATTTTGAAAGCATCAATCAATTTGAAATCATTTTAATAATAATGACTGCAGCACGAGTGATCCTAACATCTACTTGAATTCGACAGATTTAAGGTCTTCCAGGCTAACTCGTATACATAAGTATGTCATGATAATAATTTATTAAATATTTAAATCTTCGGCGCAAAACAACGTCATCACTGTACGCGGTTCATTGGACGTTATCGAACTAATACGAAGTACCTATATAATTTCGACGCAAACAGTCATTAAAAAGTTTCGCGAAAGCCATAGGTACACGGCGTTTCACGTCTATTATTATTATCGCTTTAACCCAGGTATACCTATGCATACCACGGACTATACAACGAACACCGACATCATACTCTCGCTGCGTCCACCATGCTCGCATCAACGTGTCAATTTATACGATTTTCTCACGGTTCGTCGGGTAAAATCCAACAACGGTATCACAATATAATAATATAATAATAATAATAATAATAATAATAATAATAATAATAATGTACATCTGCCGGTGGACGCAGTATCAAAACGCGGGGATAAGCACGCGGTCATTACCGGACTCCGGTGAGCGAGCTCGCGCGTGCGCACGAGAAGAAGAAGGCTACCGTCGTCGCCGGGGCCATTGGCGCGCGCGCGCGATAACTCCCGAGTGGGACTTGATAGAGACACGCTCGGGCGGCGGATATTTGGATACCGGCGCAGCGTCTCTCACCGGCAGCAGTGATTAATAGGAAGCACGGGCAAATCATTGTAATTTTCGTCGGTGGGTACGTATATAGGTTATTACGTGTACAACAGTACGTCATGATGTGCGCGCCGACTGACACTGTTGTATAGGTATTATGATGTTGTGTGAGCGAGGCTTCCGCGAAGGAACACAATACGAAGAAAATAATATATGAAAATACAAATCGTCTGAGCTCGATTACACAGTACACTGTACATATTATACGCTATACCGCGGGTGCCCATTATCTAGTCACCGTCCTAAGTGGATATTAATAACACCTCTCGTAAACGCATCAGTGGCGGGTGCTCTCCGCGCATTTGCGTCTCCACTGCCCATGTTATACACACGATATCACATTATTATTATTATTGTTATTATCATCATCATTGTTTATTGTACTATTACAATTATTATTACTACTACTATTATATTGTTATTGCAGCTATAGCGAGAACACGTGTACGCGTAGAGATTACCTCTGTACCTACGTCCATCCGCATTGTCATCGTCGCCCTGTAACGACACAGGCGCAGCAGCAGCAGCAGATTTTGCTGTGATTTCTATATACGTACATAATATATATTATTTTGTGCGGTACAGCTTAATACATTTTGTGTTCCTACGTATACATATACTTGCAACACAATAATGTACTGAGTTAAGACTTAAGACTCCACCAACGCAATTAGGTCAACGCCACTGACGCAATCCAGTCTACAGTATACATAATATAATGTCTATTCCCACTCGAATACTACGGAATTAAACATGCTAATAAGATGCAAACTACGATTTTTTTTTTGTCGTCTGTTAGAAATTGAAAAGAAATTTGTTCATAACCACTTCGAGTCCTTTCTAAGTATATAAAAACAAATTTTGTCCAGTTATCGTCATCGGCACACTCACAAGTCACAAATTCATAAAAACAATAAGATAATTCCACAATATTTTAGAACGTTTCGACAAAATGTCATATAAAAAATGATAACATATCTATTTATAACGTTATATAGAAGGTATATGGAAGTAGAGTAATTCATTATAGGTGTTGTATAATCAGAAATGTTTAATATTAAGAAAATGTAGTGCATTGCAGAAAAATAACTTATTTTTAAGATACTGTTAAGCCATTCTATTCTAAAAGAGAAAATATGAAAGCTGACCTTTTTTTTTATTTTTGTTAAAAACGATAAATATTATTTAGGTGCTATATCATCAAGTATGTGAATGTTGGTTAATGAAACATTGTTGAATGATTATAAATTGTTGAGTAAAAATACCTGCCAAATATACATATATGTATATTGTACAAGCGTCATTATTCATTAGTCATTAATGACTTGCTGAAGTTTGAGATAAAATAAAACAATAAAAAAAAAATCGAGTTTTTTTATAATATTAGAATAGTACAATATAATGCTAGTTTAAAAATTGTTGACACTTTTCTATGAAATGCACGCCATTAATGTTTTATTTACTTCAGTATTTTACTTTTAACGTAGGTAATTAATTTAAAGAATAACTGTGTTACATTTTTTGACACAACAAAAATAGTTTCACTTTGCATGAAAAATATATTTAATTTCATAGTATACTTCTACATCATTATACTTAATATATATATCGATACTTTAAACAAACAAAATATAAAAACAATTTTGAGATTGAATATGCTGGTATATAATGTGTACCTATATGGCTATATAGGTAGTAAA